AATCAAGTGTTTTAATTTCTTTTGAATTAATAATTCTAACTCATTAAATTGAAAAACAAAAGTTGGTTGGCATTTTGCAAAGCCTAGTGTCATTTATCCAGTAGCTTTAGGAAACAAAACTGTAACTTTGTGTTGAATTAATTGTTTCTAAGTTGAAATGGAAAATTGAGAGTGGTTTTAATATCTCAATTATTTATTCAACTTGGTTTTACCCTTGTGATGGTTTCTAATCACAAGATCACGGTATTGCATCTCACTCTACTAAACACAATTAACTAATATAATTCATGGTAATTAAAGACTTAACTTAAAAAAGTAATTACCAAGCTTTAATTCAAATTCAAGGGATTCCAAGTTTTCTCAATAAAAATGAGTTTAAATCAATTAAAATTCTTTATATCAAAGTAAAAATAAGTTATGAAAGTATGGGATATCTCAGAGGAGTAAAAGAAATCAAAAACAAGTGAAAAACGACTCATAATGTGTGATAGAGCAGTGCGCCACAACTCGTGCATGCTGCACCATAGCATGTTGTTATCTACGCCACGTGCTGTAGCTCAGGTGCCATGCGCTGTGGCATGTTGCACAAAAATTCAGTAGATTATGCTGTCAGTTGACAATAGAATCGAGGAATTTCCAACGCGTCTCAATTTTCCGTTCAATGTTCGAATGATGTGATTTAGGTGTTTATGAAAAGTTATTTACATGAACTAGCTAATGGCATAGGTTTCACTTTCAAAATAAATTACATTAGAAAATTGGACACCCAAATGCATTTTAACCTCTTTTCACAATTTTCACACAAAATGAGTGTTCAAAACCCTCAACATGTGCCAAAAGCCTTTCCTAATACCTGAATCATGTCCATTGGACCTAGGAATACCAATATAACACATAACACGCATCAAAACACAAGTTTAGCATAATTTCACTCCTCAACCCCCTTTTACTAAAAATAAAGAGGGAGGCAAATTGTCAATCATCATTTCTACACTTGTACTAATATTTTAGCCCTATAAATATATATATATATATATATATATCTCAATGTACATAAATATTCAGGGCTTAAAATACAAATCAAACATTTTTAACAACAAAATAGTGCAAGTGAGATGGCATGTAACCTAAAATTGGTAAATATATACTATTACATAAATAAATTTAAACTAGAGGCATAGAGTAGGAATATATTAATTCCTAACATCCTGAGTCTTCTCTCTTTCAACACCAGAGCTAGAGCCTATCAAGTATTAAATGAAAGAGGTGAGTCTAGCCATTCAGTAACCAAAATAAAACTTACTTTATGTAGTTTTATATCAATTATAAGCCAAGTATATGCATAAGAAATCAAGTACATAAAATATACTCACACATATCATAACTTATCATTTCTCATTTAATAACTTCTTTATCTCACATATACTATATGCATTGTCATCATACTTTCATATACATGACATGAATCCTTATTCACGCGACTTGCCATAACTCAACACGTGCGACACATCGTATATTTATATAGGCAATGATTGACCAACCTTATACCTTTCTTATTTCCTTAAATCAAAATTGTGGGCCATAACACTGAATAAGGCTCTGTCCATATGACTAGACTATCCAAGCTCACCAATCGTGAAGTATGACCCGACCAAAGGTCACCTGACTCACTCTCGAACCACGACTTTTCCCATACTCAAATCTTTGAGGTGTCTCATACCTTAGGCTATTCTCTTCATTGAGCTGGTGAAGATAGCTAGATTCTAGTCCCTCGATAAATTATAGGACAGTCTCTCAGCAAATTGTGGGACAAGGCTATACCTCCGTACACCAAAGGAAAGCCTAAATACCATATGAATTTTTCTCTACTCCTAATCTTTAGGCAAACTCCCGCCACTGATTATGCCATAATCAATACTCACTCATTTTTATATTTTTCTTTTCTTTTACTCATTATCACAACAATCACGTTGAGCTCACGACTGTGCACTATTCAAGTATGTATTTTCATCATTTTCTCAACATTATTCTCACTTATCTTAAAATTCACTTCTCATTAACATATAATTACCTCTACACAACATCACATTCATTTTCTAAAAGCATAAGCATGTTCATAGTTTGAAAACCCTCTTGACTTCACATTTTACATTTCAAGTCAAAAATAGTATTATGCACATTCAAATTTTTATACACTCATTGAAACTAATACATGTTTTCACATTGAAAATCAACCCCATGTATGTGACATTCACAATTCACATTTAACAATCAATTAACATATAACTATTCAAAGTAGGGTTTTCCCAATTACCTCAAATCTTTGATAGGTCAAAGGTTTATCTCTCAGTACAAGAGCTTCCAAGCTTGAATTCTCAAGCCAAAAATAGGTGACCAAGAGTTAAAACTACAATCAACCAAGTTGAATTTCATCAACATTACCAATTCAAGTATTAAACCCTTAATCTCCACTTTTAAATTGTCCAAAATCCACTCTACAAGAATTTAAGCCTATCCATTAGATTTATTATCTATCTTTAGTTCCTAATAGCATGAATTAGTCATTAAACTCCTATTAATGGCAGCACATTCTTCCAACCACCCATACTAAGTACAAATTTTGGATATTAATGATGCCTAACAACCCAAGACATTAAAATTCATTATACCTAGGTTTAGATACTTTGATCTACTCTCATTAACTTCATTTGAGTCAATAAATTTAGACTCATAACTTATGTGGATCGAAAATCATCTTCCACCATCAAACCCTAACTACAAACTCATAAATGTAGAAGAAGTGGGAAGATTAATGAGTGTGGTACTTACTTTGGATGTTTGTAGCCTCCAAAATATTTTCATTGTTGTCTACTAGCAAAGCTTAGCACGCCTCTTCTAGTTTCTCTTTTCTTTCTCTCTATTTTTGTCTCATTTTCGCGATTGATATCCACAAAAAATGACTGTGCGCTGTGGCGTATGGCACAAATAGGTCTTTCTTTACATATGATGTGTCTATGCGCCGCAGTAGATGATCTCCTCCATGCCATGACGTGTGGCACAACAACATTACTCTTCATTTTTCTTCTTCTTTTGATGCCCAAGTGGCTCAACTTGATACTAGACCCACAATTTAGGCTGAAATGCAATTAAATATGCTTATTAGACCTCCCTGGTTACACACCACCTCAAATTACTTAATTACCCTAATGAGGTTTAATTATTCTGAGGATTAAAATTGGTATGTTACACACGGTGTCTCCATTATCAGAGACTTAACTATTTAAAATGCTACTTGCTTGTTTGCTAATTCATGAAATGAATTTTCTTATTCATTCTCTTTACAATAATCAGATTGTTTCGATCATTCTTAACTACCCATTGTCTTGCTTTGAGCAAAGAGACTCATTAAATTGATTAGGCTCTACCTCTAAGCCTATATTGCAAAGTGCAAAGGGTAATTTTTGCCTACTCATTAATCAATCCAAGTTTCATTGTTTTTTGATACTCAAAGATCTCTGATCTTTTTTATAAAATTTAAAGTTGCCTATGAAATACATCATTCTTACTTAGAAGCTTTAGTTTCGTCAAGACCTACTTACAGGAGATGTTTTGCAGAAACATCATTTACCCAACACAATCTGGTGTCCTTTTGGTTGCGATGAAGCTGAATCTTTGGATCATATTTTTGTTCAATGCCTCTTTTCTCATTGACTTTGAGTTGCATGCCTTTCACAACTATTGTGGAATGGCTACCCACCATCCTTAGTAAGCTCCATCAGGAAGGCTGTATTGATAATATTTGTTCTATTATCATTCTAGTAAATTTGCTCTGATGGTCAAGAAATAATGTCAACCATGATGGAAACCCTGAAGTTCAATATCAATTGATTCAACAATTTCATGGTCATCGTTTTCTCAAAAAAAAAAAAAAACACACGTCGATGAAATTTGTCTCTTTCCTTTAACTCACACCATAGACTTTAGTGGAATGCCACAATGGGTGGTCTATTTGGATAACGAAGCTCAAGAAAAGGAATTTTATGCATTGTCCGGTCATAATTCAGTTAAGGGCACAAACTTTGCATGCCATCACTATCAAAAAACATACTCAAGGTACCATGCTCCTCTACCTCCTTTGTTTGAGAGCTTCGATTTGGCAGATTAAGAATTTTTGCGGCAGCCATCACACAGGCTTCAATTCATTGCAACTGAATTGTGTCAACAAGTTGCTCGTCACTCAGGATTTGCTTCATTGGAGCTCTACTCATTTGTTTCTGGGGATATTTTTTCTCTACTACAGCCTCTCACACATTTCAATGTTAAGCTTGCAGATGCAGATTTTTTCTTTTCAATTTTTAGTTTTTTTTTCTTGAACTCTGTGTCTTGCACAATAATCTTCTTTATTGTAGTATAATTTGTTCCTTGGTTTGCTTCAAAAAAAGGGAAACAAAACAGCATTGGCTTGGGGCTGTGTGGAGTGAATCTGAAAAAATTTCACGTGACATTTTCACAAACTGTTAAAGTAAACTGATCCAGATCGAATCCATTCAGCACCCATTTGGGATGGTTCCGGGGACAACGACCCAAGACAAGTGAAGAGGAAGCCAAATTGTTGCGCGTCACGTGCCCCTATTTTCATACAAGCAGACATGTTAATCTGTCCCTGCACTCTCAACTTTGAAGTCTTTCTGCACTCTGCTTCGTTTATCCAATGACTGCTAGTCTGCCACATTCCATCCTGGAATTTACAAAGGCCGGTGATCAACTGGTTGAATTGGCTATTTTCATGTGAAGCTATTCACTGAGGTCTGCCTGGGTATTAATGGACCGCGGTACGTAACACAGTAGAAATTGCCTGTTACAGCCTTACTTTACTAATGCCATTTATTATCACACACATTTCAAACAAGCTGAGGACCTGAGACTAAATTAAGTTGAATTGATACTTGATAGTAGTATTGTTTGTATCCTCTCCATTTGAACACCAAAATCTTGTCTTGTTCACTGTACTACAAACAAAACTCTTCGGCAGTGAATCCCAAGCTCATTCTTGATTTTCGAATACCATGGTGGCATTTTTGTTTCTTTGAACTTGTGCAAGCATCATCACGGATTCTCCTTGTAACCGAACCGAACCAGTCCAGGACGGCATTTATTTATTTATTTATTCTTTCCTCGAGAACAACTGCACTGTAATTTAGGGTTTGAATTTGATGATTTAAACGTGTGGCGGTTCGGTTGTGTGTACTGACAAGTTGATGCAACGAAACGACGGAGAATAGGCAAATGGTAGGTGCTGTTCCAGGCAACGATGTCTGTAATAAATGGAGGTGAGTTTTTGAATTTTCCTTCGTTTTCCTTGTCCTCTATCTATGTACCTTGGGACTTATCCTGTACATTTCAAAATGTGTCATCTCAGTGACGAGAAAATGGAAGGAAAAGAGGGTTTCAATGCTATCGAGTGCCTCAGAGCAAGATTGCTCGCAGAGAGACACGCCTCAAAACTGGCCAATGACGAAGCAGAATCTCTGGGCCTCAAGGTATTCTGTTCATATTCCCTCTTTCTCACTTTCCCTCTATTCTGTGGTTCGTCCTCATTCTCCAGAAAGTGTGGTGCGCAGTTGATTGAGCTGGAAAACAAACTCAGACAAAGAGATTAAATTCAAAGAGAGAGCCGAGAGAAGGCTCCGCTTTTTGGAGAAGAAGCTCAAGTCTTTCAACATTTCATCCACATCAGGGGAATCTGAGCAATCTTATTCATCAGGGAAGTGTGAGAGTTCATTACAACAATAGTTCAGCTTCCACGGATGCAGAAGAGAACGAAACAGAGTCTCATTCAGCAAATTCACCTATCTCTGGGATTCAAACCCATAATGGTCCTCCCGTTTCAAAAGATTTTGACTGCCCTCAAGATCTGCGCGAGAATCCAAGTCCAAATTCCGAAGATTTCAACACAACGAAAGCAGGTGCTTGATTTCAACATGCAGAAGAACCATTACATCTGATTACTTGAAGCTAATATAGTTTTAACATGCATTTGTTTAAATTGAAGTAGCTGACTCTCTGTGTCAGGCTTTCGTTTTCAAGCTCGAAATCATCAGCAAGAGATTCCGTTGCTCAGGGCACTAATATTTACAGCTCACACACGACAAGCCCAAGCAGCTCCAGTTCCCATGAAGAACCTGGTCATCATGATCCAAATCTGAGCTCTAATAATGTGAAGAACGATGAAATGAGGGATGGTATTTTGAGGAAGCAGTTCTTTATCTCATGATTCACTTGTCACGTGGCTGAGAATTTCGGGTTTCTGGGGCAAGCACAAAAACCATCTGTGATGATGATAGAAGAGTTTAATAGAAGCTGGGTGGCTGCATGCCAAGAGAAGCTTCTGGGCTTGATGGAAGAAGACCAGTAAGAAACACAGTAACAGTGCTGAATAATTTGTATGTTTTTTAGTACAGAAAATTAGAAATTAGAACGTGGGAGATAGATTAAGGAAGGCGAGCCAGACGAGATGCAAGAAGCAGAGTGGGAAAGTTGGTGCGAATGATCACAGAAAGCATGTGAGCGTGACGATTTAACTTTGTGGGTTGTAAATGTAAATGAATTCTGGGTTGGTGAATGTGGCCACTTGATTCTTGTGCTTTCTTGGTTTAAGAGTAGGAGGGGTAGGTTGAGATCGAAGAGCATAATAAGTTGACCTAATTAATGGCCTCACTAGATGTGTGTGACGATGGATAAGGATTCCATAAATTTTGATTCAATAGCTGCAATATATCATCATAGTATATATGCGTGCAATAAGAATAAATAGGACCATTCTACAAAATAAATAACAAATAGGACCATTTCAAGAGGGATTTATTTTTAATCAATTAATATTTTGTTATGATTATTTGATTTGATATAATTCAAGTTGAAATCTTCCTCTTCAAATAAAACAATCCCATGACGAAAGGACACGCCAAGTTTTTTGCCAATAATTATGCTTTTTTGTTTGATTCCTCGAAATTCACTGGTTCAACAAGAAGGCAACAGAAATGGAACGCTTGCTGGTAATGCAAAAATAAAAGAAAAACAGCGTACGCTGGCCTCATTTGGACTTTCGTAGCTGTGAAATGGGAAGCATGTCCAAACTCCGAACAAGACTACAGAGGATCCCCCTAATGTTTCTTCATAAATTTATATTTAAAAACGTTATTCATAAGAAAAGGTTGAAAGTAATATAAAACTAATGTACATGAATTCTTGCAAATTATTTTGGTTTTTCTTATTAAATATAAAACTATATAAAAAAAACAAGATATTATGAAACGATGAAGGATTAGAGTCGTTGGGGTAGTTTTGGGTGAGAGTGAAAGCGGCATATCGAGAGTCCAGGACGAGACACTTGTGGCTGTGAGATGGACTAGGCTGTAGAGAGAAGCTAAGAGAATGAACCAGAAGCTTCTTTAATGTGCTTGTGATCTCACATTTATGGAATGTGTCTCTTTGAATGACCTAAAGGACTCGGCAAAATTCATCCAACACAGAATATGCCTTCTTCTCTTCTTCCATAGATGATGGGTTACTAATGCACTGGTATTTAAATGACAAGGCATACAACAGGCATCTTATCGAGTATCTCAAACATGTATCCACTTAAAATGATTATAGAGATCTCATCCGTAATAATTAAGGTGCAGCTTCTTGCAAGTCTCATCCAGGACAATCAAGGCAATTGAATCAAAGGCTTGATTAAATACATTAATATCATCCAAATATGGTAGCTTAATTTATGAGTATTTTAGAAGGGTTCAAACATTTGCTGGGCAATGAAGTCTAACAAAGTTAATGTTTACTCTAACTTTACAAAGGTGCTTACACTAATACGTATAGAGTTCTCCACCAATCATCCACAATTATAACCACAACAATATCAGAAAATTACTATGAGAGATTGAACGGTCACTTTTGGTCACA